GTGATATATGCCATCATGTGCCAGCAATGCCCCTCTGCCATGTACATTGGCCAAACCGGACAGTCTCTACGTAAAAGAATAAATGGATGCAAATCGGACGTCAAGAATTATAACATTCAAAAACCAGTTGGAGAACACTTCAATCTCCCTGGCCACTTGATTACAGACCTAAAAGTTGCAATATTACAACAAAAAAACTTCAAAAACAGACTCCAATGAGCGACTGCTGTATTGGAATTAATTTGCAAATTGGACACCATTAAATTAGGCTTGGGAGTGGATGGGCCATTACACAAAGTAAAACTATTTCCCTGTGCTTATTCCCCACCACCACCACCACAGTTCCTCATATCTCCTTGTCAATTGCTGAAAATGGCCATTTTCATTACCACTACAAACAGTTCTTTTTCTCTCCTGCTGATAAAAGCTCACCTTAACTGATCACTCTCCTTATAGTGGGTATGGTAACACCCATTGTTTCATGTTCTCTGTGTATATATATATATCTTCCTACTGTATTTTCCACTACATGCATCCAATGAAGTGGGCTGTAGCCCACGAAAGCTTATGCTCAAATAAATTTGTTAGTCTCTAAGGTGCCACAAGTACTCCTGTTCTTTTTGAGAATACATGCAGTTGGCCAGCTGTTTACCAAAGAAACTTTTCTAATTTATTTAGAAACTAAAACTATAACTGGCTCGCTCTCCTCTTGTACCAGTACATTCTACTTAGGCATGATGTTTCTCAACTTTTTTAAAAAGTATCTTTCTATTTTTAATAGAAGCTTTGATTAAGAAACACAAAAGTTAAAACCAACATATCAATCTTTCCAGACAACTTTCTTTTTTTTAAAAAAAAGGCAATGCATGATATGGTGGGAAAGAATTTGGCTAGGCAAATTATGCCAGAGAAATGGGCTTTGATCTGGAAATAAGGACCATCAACCTTAGTTTGTAGTATGATAAAATAAAATTTCTTTAAGATATTTTTTCAGTGGTACCTCACACCAGTCTAGTTAAAAAATAGAGACTGAATGAGGATAAATATTGGAGAAACTGTGGTGAAGAAAAGATTGTATGCATGTGCAGTAGACATGTTGTTTAAAAATAAAACCACAACATTTATGTACCCAGCAAAATAAAGGACAAAAAGATACTCAGGTCTTTGATTACCATTTATTCAATACTCAAAATATCTTCTCCTAAAAAACAGCACACCTGTACAATTTTTTTGAATATTAACATTTGATAGATACCCCTGGTTTGATAAATATGAGTAGAGTCAATAGTTTCATTCCGTTTAATAAAATAACCAAAAACAACATGTCCCAGGTGATGTAAAGAGGGTCATTCTGTAATATTGGCAGGCCCTGCTAAATAGACAAATGTTATGATTAGATTACTGTATGATGTTTCTCTAAGCAAAATGATAAGTTCAGTGTTGTAATTATTAATTTTTTCATTTTTAATATTTACATGTAAATCTATTAAAACTTCCCAAATAAGTAGTTATAAAAGAAATCACAGAATCATTAAGGAGATGAAATTGAAATTGAATTTCCAGTTTTCTAAGTGGAGATTTCAAACTCTGGAGGATTTTTAAAAATGTGAACGATTAAAAAAAACATAACTATGTGACCATGGCATTTAAATGAAATGAATTTCTATAACTCCTTTACTGCTGAATTGTGAGCTAGGTATGTGGAGCAAAATGAATCTCTACTGGTGTCTCACATATTTGGTAATATACATCAACACGGAAGTGCCATCAGAAAACAGTGCTACCTTAGGAGTGTATGGCTGAGGGGCTTTTTTTGTGGTATGTTCAATATTTGTTTGCTATTTCAAATCTAGCTCAGAGTTGTAGCAGCCAGAAGTTTTTACCTTCTGTAGGCTTTACAATCCAATAGTTCTTGATGGTCTATGAGAAATGAATTGTTCTGTTTGTCTCTTTTTTCCACAATTATCTCTGCACTTTCTTCCACGTTGGTCCCTGTATAAGGAATGCCCTTCCTGAATTGGTCCATAAAGCCGCTACCCTCTCTCTTCATATAGGATACTAGCCAAAATCCATTGAAGTCAATGGTTGTCTTTCCAACGGTTGACTTCAAAGGGCTTTGGATCAGGCTTTTCAATGTCTCCTGAAGATCCATATCTTCCACAATACCTATAAGAAACTTACTAATTAGTAAAGCTCCGTGTTTGTCATGGAGGTCACAGAAGTCACGGATTCCATGACTTTCTGTGACTTCTGCAGCCGTCGGTCCGTCTAAGCAGTCACACCGGCTGCTGCTGGGGCAGTCTCGAGCCCCCCCAGCAGCAGGAGTTTCGGTGTGGGGAGGCTCAGGACTGGAGATTGGGGTAGGGCTTACCTGTGGGGGGCTCCCCGGAAGGACGACAGGAACTCCCCTCCCTCAGCTCCTAGCTTCATATGCTGCCTCAGCCCACAGACACCGCCCCTGCTGCTCCCATTGGCCGCGGTTCACAGCAAATAGGAGCTACAGAACTGGGGTTTGGGGTGGAGCAGAGGCAACATGTGGAGCTTGTGGCTGGAGGTTGCTGCTTCCCAGGAGCTAGGTAGGGAACCTGTCCCAGCCCCAACAAACTGCCCTCCCACCCCCCAAGAACCCGTGGTGCCCCTCAGGCCGCCCTCCCCACCCCAAGCACCCGTGGTGCATCCCCCACCCCGAGCACCTGCGGCGCGACCCCGCCCCAACCACTTGCAGCGCTCCCGGTCTAGGCCCCCCCCCCCCGACGCTATCTCCCCTCCCCCCAAGTTTTAGTCAGGGGTATATAGTAAAAGTCATGGACGAGTTACAGGCAGTGAATTTTTGTTTACTGCCCGTGACCTGTCCATGACTTTTGCTAAAAATATCGGTGACTAAAACGTAGCCTTAGATCTTCTACTTGTCCATTCTATTTAGCTATTTTTACCCCCCAAAAATCTGCTCCATCATGCTGTGCACTTCCCTTTGCTGAATAATTGCATATTCCTACTGATATCTCCCAGGTCCTTCCTCCCAGCCCCCGTTGTTACCCCCATTTTTAGGTCTGGTTTGAAATTAGTTTGCCAACTCCCCAGGGTATATTATATTTTATTATTTTGTAATTTAAAAAAAATTGTAGAATCTGGTAATTAATGACAGTTGAAGTAAAGAATAAAGCCCTAATAATGGTAATTCCTGCTTGGTTGACGTAATCTTACCTCTCAGGCTCGCCAAGCACACTTTGGTTCTGATGCTCATTTTAACTACTTAAAGGTTTTTATTTGGTTAATGAAAGAAACATTTTCTGAACTGCTCAAATACCAAGTTAACGCTCAGGACTAACATACTAAGAAATAACAGTGACAACATGAACAACATTTCCACGCTTTGTGATACTGGTTATGAGAATATTTTCTTCTCCCAATTTCAGGTTGGGTGGGACTATATCTGCATACAAGATCGTGCCAGACGAAATTGAAGAAATCAAGGTACAGTATTACTACTGTCTTTCAACACTGGAAGTGTTTTGCTGGGGAGAATTCCTAAGGTGTTACATGAAAAAGTCCTCCTCCCTTCTTTTGTGCTTTGGAATGCACAGTGTGTGTATGGCCTTCTCTTAATACCTTACCTGATAAATACTGGAAATGGTAAAAAATAATTTTAGATATTGAATAGATGACCTGACTGCCATTTGGAGCTGTCTCTAAAATTAAAAACAGCATGAAAATAAAAATGAATTTTTGTCTTTTTTATACATTTTAAAGTCCTTTGTGTCACTGAGTATGACAGATTATATTTGCGATATTCATCTAGCTATATCTCCACAGGGCAAAAACATAGTTTTAATCAACCTCACAGAATCTAAAAGACTCAATAAGGTTTTTCCCTTCTAATTTCTGACTTGGTACCTTTATTTAAACTGATTGGGGTATTTTATTGTACAACAATTTTAATCAGGCTTTATAGTTTGTGGCCAGAATTTTAAAACATGACTGCCTAAAGTTAGGTTCCTAAATCCATATTTAGGCGCCTTAATAGAACTTACCTGATTTTGAAAGGTGCTGAGCACCTTCAGCTCTCATTGACTTTAGCAGGATGTGTTGATGCTTAGCAATAGCACCTATATAATTCACGCCATTTATGTTTACAGATTCTGGAGCCTAACTTTAGACATCTGACTTTGAAAATGTTGGCCTAATTTTTTTTAACTTTTGAGAAATATGTAGGCTTGGAAGGATTAGATTTTTATCACTAAATGTCGGTAAGCATTGATTTCACTGTACACACCCAAACCAAAGAAAAATATTTCCATTGATAATCAAAATTTACAGATTGGAAATGTGAGAAAAATGCAGCTTGAGAACTTATTAGAGTTTGATTTAAGGATATTTATTTTGTATATTTTGACATGTGATGTTGACAATTTCTATTTTAATGGTTATAAAGCTTTAATTTTGAATCTTGACATCTATTGCTTGAAAGCTTCTCCAGGTTTCCAGCATAAGTGTTAGGTTGACCTCTTACACAGCTCAAAGTGGTTTGTGGGGAAAATACCATCCTATTGACTTTTGAATTAATATAACTTGAATATCAGATATGGTAAAGAGAGTCTTCCACTATGTCACTGACTTCATGGAGGAAGAGAAGCCATCTAAGCCTTGATTATCCTCAAGGTTGAAAAGAATCTTTGAGATTATTAAAAATATATGTTTCTAGAAGTGTTAATATGTTAGAAAGGTAAAAGAATTCACAAAGTGTGTATGTATGAAGTTTGTGCTTACTGTGTACCTATGTGTGCTTATAGTTCGTGTATTATGTGCATGCCCTTGAGTGTTTACAGTGCATTTATGCTGCATATCCTATTGTGTGGGGGTGTATGTGAATGGCCATCTAGTGTGTGCGTATACTTTGTATGTGTGTGTACAGTGTGTATGTTATATGCTGTATACCAGAGGTTCTCAAACTGGGGGTTGGGACCCCTCAGGGGGTCGCAAGGTAATTGCATGGGGGGGTCGCGAGCTGTCAGCCTCCACCACAAACCCTGCTTTGCCTCCAACTTTTATAATGGTGTTAAATATATTAAAAAGTGTTTTTAATTTATAAAGGGGATTGCACTCAGAGGCTTTCTATGTGAAAGGGGTCACCAGTACAAAAGTTTGAGAATCACTGCTGTATACCCATCTCTCTATGTGTGTATACTGTGAGTTCCCATGTACTGTCTTTCAGAGTAGCAGCCGTGTTAGTCTGTATCTGCAAAAAGAACAGGAGAATTTGTGGCACCTTAGAGACTAACAAATTTATTTGTGTGTGTCTGCATTGGAGTGGCACTTGGGGGGCGGGGGTGTTGTGAGGGCTATAGCCACCCCAAAATTTGCCTTGGCCCCCCTGTAGTCACCCATAGCAGCTGCCACTCTCCAGCCACCCAGCTCTGAAGGTGGACTGGAAAGAGTGGCAGCTGCTGGCCAGGTGCCCAGCTCTAGCAGCAACAGAGAAGTAAGCCTAGGCAGGGGGCAAGGGTGCTAGACCCTGTTCTGTGTTCCTGCCTGCGGGGGCATGCCACCCAATGCAGGTGGTGGGTCTGGGGATCCCCACAGTGGCCCAGACTTACCCACTCTAGCCCGGGCTCCTCCCCAGCCCCTGTGGTCACTGCTCCCCGAAGGCTCTGCTGGCCCTGGAGCTAGGTCCTCCGCCCGGGCAGTTCTTACCTGGCCCCGGCTTCCAGCATCCAACAGGGCCAGGGGGCTGGACCCTGGGGGGAGAAGAGGAGCAGAGGCAGGACCATACGGGTGGGGGGGGCTAAGGCCCACCTCAGCCCCCCCACCGGGATGAGACTGGTTCCAACTCTGGCTTGCATGCATGTGTGTGCTTCCTTTTGTGAGTGTTTATGTATTTATTTAGTGCATCTGAATGGCTATAACCAAAGCTCCCACTCCCCATTAGCAAAAATTCAGATGTTATGACTTAGGTGGTAATCAAAAATGTGATATATGTAATCTAAGATGGGAAATAACCATGGGCAGCAGATGGAGCCCCCCTTTGGGGAGGCTAGCCCCCAGCTCTGCCCCTTCCCCTGGCACCCTCCCCAGGGCTGGAGCCCCAAGACTCCCTGCCCTGCCCCCCACCCAAGGCTGGAGCCATGAGCCCCCCACCCGGTGAAGCCCCTGGCTGGCCGAAGCTCCGAGCCTCCCACACACACACCCAGAGGAACCCGGGGCTGGCTGCAGCTGTGCCGTGCCTCCCCTGCCCGGACCCAACCCACCCAGGGGAAAAGTGTCTGTTAGAACAGTGGTCTCCAAACTTTTTTGATCGTGCACCCCATCAGTAAAAAAATTTTGAGTGCGCACCCTCTGCCACACCGGCTCTACCATTTTTGGCAAAGCAAAAAAAAAAGCGGTCCTCGTGTGCGCACCCCACTTTGGAGACCACTGTGTTAGAAGATGCTTTTGATATGCCCCATACATGTTCCAGGGTGGCTGAGGAGGCAGTATGTGCCTCCCCAGAACCTGCATGGAGCATAATAAAGCAAAAATTCACTGCCAAACCCCACAACTAGGGGTCCAGTGGCTGCAGCAGTGCTGGGGGAGGCAGAGCCTCCCTTGGCCTATTATACCCACCGCCCATGGAAATAACCTTTATAAGTATGCAAAAAACCCAAAACAACTTTTATAGAATTTTAACCAATTTGCATGCCATGTACAAATGAACAAAATTTAACTGGTTTCAGAGTAGCAGCCGTGTTAGTCTGTATCCGCAAAAAGAACAGGAGTACTTGTGGCACCTTAGAGACTAACAAATTTATTAGAGCATAAGCTTTCATGGACTACAGCCCACTTCTTCGGATGCATATAGAGTGAAACATATATTGAGGAGATATATATATACACACATACAGAGAGCATGAACAGGTGGGAGTTGTCTTACCAACTCTGAGAGGCCATTTAAGTAAGAGAAAAAAACTTTTGAAGTGATAATCAAGCTAGCCCAGTACAGACAGTTTGTATCAAACTTATCAAACTGTCTGTACTGGGCTATCTTG